TCGATTTTCCACTTCCTATATCTCAGTTATCAGTCCCGCTAGACCTTGAATGTTTTGAATCGATGAATTCTGCTGTTCAGCAAGAATACAAGAATGTAATGAAATACAGGGTGTCCTATTTGAAAAATCGAAGTTGCTGCTACTTTCTAGTAGATGCGGCAAGGCCGGATCGTTTCAAATATTTCAGTAGTGAAGATTATGTTAATTTATATATACAATCGAAATTTCAGATTTATCCGTTGCCTGGTTTGCCGAAAACGTCAAATTAACGCTCATCGTGAAAAGCCCTGTATAGTTTTGATGACGGACCTGCAACTAAGTCTGGAACAAAGAACGATATGAAATACTGCTTCTTAATGTAATACTCACGTATACTGAATAAGAAGTAATAAAATTAATAAATCTCGTTTGATTCCAATTTTGTACCCCAAAATGAGCAAAAATATTATTTTGAGCACATAATATAAGATCGTCTGTGCACGAATAAAAAAAACATCGTTGAATAGAAATTTTGATGTTCTTTTCAGATATGGCAAAAAAAATGAGAAATTCGAATGTATAGGGTGTTGTTTTCTGGCAGAAAGAATTTGTGAATTTTAAGTGAAGCCGGTCCTGGACTTTATCTTTTGTTGTTGCCTCAATCAATTCCACAGGGTAGATTGAGCAAGTGTACTTATTTTTAAAAATATATACAGATTGGTTGAGAAGTTATGAGACAATGAAGATATGGACAAAATTGATGAAACATCCTTTATATCGGTTATAAGAAGTAGAAGACCCATTAACCATGGGTTTTTTCAAATCACCCCAGTGACCCCTATCCACAGTTGAATTATTTACCTTTCCCAATGAAACACCCTGTATACTCATGATGTACTTCAATGACACATTTTTTATTGAAAATTCAACACGAAATATGATATTTATAGCGAGTTTCTCATATTTAGTGAACAATCATACCAGATGACGGCCATTTTAACCAAAAATCAATCCAAATACGAGATGTTTAATGTCAACAGATTGCTTTTGAATGACGTTACACACGCCATTATTTTAAATGAAATTCTTCCTTCTTCTCACAAAATATGGATAAATCGCAAGAAAATGTGGCTAAGACGAAATGGACACGAAATGTAGCTGAGATGAGATGTGGCTGGAACGAGATGAAGCTGCATTGTGTATTTCTGCTAAATTGGGAGAATCGGTTTGTATCTGGCAACAGCGCATCGTTCGGGTATATATACACTGTGGCTGTGACGAAATGGGGGTGAAACGAGATGTGGCTGAGACGAAATGTGGCTGACACGATATGTGGCTAAAAAGAAATGTGGCTGAAACGATACGCACCCGCCAATATCACATACATTTTCATGAAGAATCAACAAAAGTCAACAAGAACTGAGTTGGCTGCTGTTCAACTTCAAATAGTTGACACAACTATCAGCAAAGTTTTTTAAATTCTTATAGGGTGGTGTTTTCATTAGTGTTTTGATTATATATTATTGTAAGATGACATACACCTACCTACCTATTTATGATAAATAAAATGGTTACTGAGATTTTGATTCTACTCCGCCATAAATTAAGTTAAGATTTGTTTGCCGGAAACAAGAAAAAAGTATGAATTAATTGGCATAGGAAAAATTTATGGAATGCAGAAAAATACAAAATTGAAATCTTCTTCGGAAAGTGTACTTTTGGTATACTTTGAAGATATATTGACAATTTTAAAAGGCGATCTACCTACTCTTTGGTCACAATATTCATTATATTCAATGTTGCGAAGTACTATATCAGTATGAAATGAAATACACTTTATATTTATGCAGTTGTAGAAAAAGCATAGTGTGCAACATGTCGGGAAAAGTACTTTTCTCACTTGTGTGTTTGCGGCACTCGCCCTTCACGCTATTGTCGCAAACTTCCACACTCGTGAGAACTTTCCCATCTCGTTGCACGTTGCACAATATACTATTCCAACTTACTACCTGCCCGAAACCAAACTACCAATAGCACCCTCATCAACATACCCTTCAGCGACCGTTGATGACTTCCAAACGCCATGTTCCTTCATTGTCAGCAAATCTCCCCCAGATTCAACTAAAAGTGCAGCTGACGATCTTCGAAATGAATGACCCGTATACGAGTTAGCATTTTCGAGTTTCAGAAAATTAGCTACTGTTTCAGGTACCTTGTAAAACTGATTTTTACCCACAACCTGATTGATACATTTTCCATTGCGATATGCATAAAACAGGCGGCGATCCTTTGCTGCTGCTGGACGAAGGGCTACGTACATTCGGTAAAATTTAACATATTCTTCAGTGACTACAAATCTTCTGTTTACATCATTCTTTGTTTGCTGGAGTTTCACAATTAATAATGTTCCCAAATCTTCAATATCATCTAATGTTAACTGGCTGATTTCATAAATTCGACAAGCTCCTGCAATCCCGAATACAACAACAACCTTGGCCATTAAATAAACTTCATCGGGAGCATACATTAAAAAATCACCAATTTGCGTACTCGTAAAAATCGCAGCTTTCTTGGGGGTGTAAGCTTTCCCATTTTGTTTCAGAAATGTAATTAGTTTGGAATATTTTGAAATGTCTACATTATTATTGGATTGTAACATACTTTTTATCATTGAGTAATTTGACCACACTGTTGATGGCTTTTGTTGCTGTACCAGTTCCGAAAAATAAGCTAATAACAATGTTTCCGAGAAAGAACTGCATGACTTTTTCATCTTCCATACCATAAATCTTGAATACGCGGTTTCGTAAATTTTCCGCGATCTAGCTGGCAATAATTTTTGTGATGCTTCTTTCGTTGCTTCAGTTAACTCGGGTGGAAGCTGAGAAAACTCGAAACCAGCCATTTTTCAATTTTATATTATTTAAAATAACTACTAAATAACCACTATGAGTTCGCAATTTTTAAATAAAAAATAAAACCACAGGATTAAACAATTAAATTGACAGAATGACAAATATTTGATTAGCTACTTCAATAGGTTTCCATAGCAACGAGATGCCTGCACTGCTAGCGTAAGGGTCGCAGCCCTAGAGTGACTAATAAATAGAGGGACGACAATAATAGGGGCGTGTTTCTCATTCCATCGAAGTGCGCACTGTTAGGTGCGGTTTTTGTCGTGACGTCACAAATTGTTCTGATGGAATTTATGCTGGAACTTAGCTGGAACGATGGAACAACACATTGATGAAAAAACAGATTTCGTTGTATGTCAGTCGCCATACAGTGTGGCCATTCAAGTGTGCAACATATGGGAATCTTTTTAATGAATTGCACAACCAAACAGCATACAGGGTAGGTCAAAAAATATAAAAATTGCTCACGAGTAAAGTACCCTTATTTCAGAAAATTCAGCAAAATTTTAATGAGAAAAGTTGTTTACAAGTGAAAGTAATTAATGCCTTGAAACCAAAACATGGCCTCCTAAGATTTTTTTTGGTTTTTCAAAATTTTTTCGTTAATAATTTCCAAATTTGTAATTTCACACACACACACACACACTTTCATAAGTTGATCATAACAAAATCAGTTGATCCTACCTTTGTTCAAATTCGAGCATATTTGTGCAATTAACTTAGATTTTTTTTGTTGCAACTATATTCAGCTCAACTTTGAAATTTCGCAAACCATATTTCTAACAAGGAAGACTCAGGTGACTAATAAAGTTCGTTCTTGTATATTACCCTCGATTAAGTGTGAATACTCAAAGATATTACTCATATTATCATTTGCCAATAATAAATATGAAAAATTTCATAACAGAATTTAGTCTATTTCAGGTCTGTTTAAATTTGTTTTTTACCCCATCTTCACATCATCTAATCTGATTATCTGATGTGATGTGTGATACTTAGGACAGATAGTCGAACGAGAGCTTTCGTACCTTTATGTACTTACCTATATAGGCAATATTACAAGGAGCACAGCTTATCAAGCTGTGACCAGAGGACCAACCAAGAAATATTTTTGAACCAAGTGCACAGAAAAATGATGATGAGGATAGGGGGTACAAAAAAGTTGTGTGCTGAAGTTCTTCACGATTCATATGAACTTTCTTTTGGCATTCCGTTTATTCATTAGATTTTTACTCGATTTTGTTTTGGTACTCAACCACTGGTTGATGTCTCTCAATTTCAATGTTAAAATTCATGTACCCATAGACCCAAGTCATAATAAACGAATCAACCCTCATTTCAAACAAAATGACCCCTATAAAGTGTATGTCTATGATTTAGATATCGACTTTGACGGTTTACTAGGCTCGGATTTCTTAAGGTGCGTACAGAACAAACACTACATTTGTGTTATAGACCTGAAAAACCGACAGCTGCTAACTATTATTCAAAGTTCCTGACAATAATGAACCCAATACCAAAAAAGATCGACTTTTCAGCCTTTAAATTGGAACCTTTGCCAACTAATGAAACAATTCTCAATCTCAACTCAGACTTCAGAAATTCAAACTCATCCTCGTGTGACAGAATCCAAGAAGATCAGGATTCTGACCACCCTTTATCTGTCGTTCCGATTAAATATCAGTAAATAGTGAACACAAAAAAATCCTGAAGTTGAAAAATCTCGATTTTGAACACCCCATATCTCTGTAATCTTTTTCGATAAACCCCAAGTGTGATATATCGATAAAATCAGCTCTTCAGGAAGAATCTAAAAATGCGATAAAATACAGGGTGTTCCGTTTGAAATATCAATGTTGCTACTACTTTCTAGTAGAAGCGGCAACATTGCATTGTCGAAAATATAAGCATGCACATTTTCATGAATTTCTCCCGACTGATTCTCGATATAAAGATAGTGTAAGCGCGTTGTGACATACCCTGTATATATCTACATCTAGTTAGAACAGTTGTTAAGATTTGAAAATTAACTATGCTGAGGATTTTTGAAAAAAACCTTTTTGCATTTTTTCTATGTGATTCAATATTTTTTGGCAATAGAATAGGTAACTATTATACAAACCTTGGATATCCTGTATACTTTCCGTAAACTTTCTTTGGTGTCAATACTTTGAAATGTTCTGAGCCTGAGGGGCTAGTATTTCCAGAGGATGATACATGACTGTGTGCACAAAGATTGACTACCACTTCATCAGATTGGGTTGTTGAAGGCGCTAAAGAATGAGAAAAGTACGGCTGTGGGACCGCGGTTTTCTTGAGTTTCCTTTTACTCGCGGTGAAATCTTTGTTGGAAAAATGATCGCCACAAATTTTCCGCTTTCTCAGAGATCTTGGTGAAAGTGAACCAAGGGTCGAATTTCCTGCAATAACAAGTATACTTGAAAAATCTGTATATCTGAATCATTTGATCAGAAATTGAATAAAATATTCTACAACTTATATATTATTATGTAAAGTGTGTACCACTATGAGCAGCGCCATGCACACTTGTGTTTTCTAAATCGTTCACGAATTAAAAAAAATGTAGCAATGCGATCAACATTCCTGAAAATTCAAATTTCTCATAGCACCATAACACTATTACACAGCCAACATGAAGCCATGATCATCTGAACTGTTAATAAACAAAAAATTTTCACCTGTTGTCGTTTTAGGAGAATACATGTCAAGTACAGTATGTACTTCATGAATATCTTTAGGTAGCTTACGACGACTATTATACACATTTCTTCTTATAAGGCTTATATCGGTGCTTATCAATTCCTCCGGTAAATTTGTTGAAAGAACACTCTTTATAATTTTAGATGGTTTCTCCGATATATCCTCCTGGGCTTTTCGCTTGCATGCAGTTGTAACAAGTTTTCTCTGCAAAGAACGTTCATCTGGTTCATGATTGTGAGTTAAGTCACTTCTGGTTACAGTAAATTCAGCTCCAATTGTATAAACTTTAGCTAAACATTTAAAAATTTTTTTTATGCACCTCCAACGAACTTCCCCACTTTTTAGAACATCTTGTTTACAAAATGAAAATTTTTCTATTATTAGCAAGTCACAACCACGCGAACTCTTTACTATGGAAACGGCCATTATAGGAAATCAAAGTTCTCTATCTGTTGATCGCAGACAAACTAAGTGTACAGAATATCTTTAATAATAAGGTAAACCCATAAACCAATATTTCCCATAATCATAACATGTACCTTCTAGTCCAGTCATTATAGACTTTGACCCGTGAATAATTTTTTAGTGTTTTTTTTTTCATAGGTGTCTCAGGGGGGTCACTGGGAGTGTAAATTCAAAATGACGACCACATCAAGCTTTTGCGTATGTTCGAAAACGGTTTTTTTTGTTAAAAAACTGTTTTTCTTGAATAACTCGGCCATTTTTGATTCTACAGAAAAAGTTTGGGGACAAAAATTGTAGTAAATTTGGTTCTCTACAAGTTTGGTCCTTACAATTTTTCTGATAGGATCGATATTTTGTAAATTAAACCTGAAAAAAGCGACAAATTCGAAATATTTTCATTATCTTGTTTATTTTCAACTTTACGGCATAAATGAAGAGGACTAAACTTGTGGAGAATCAAATTCTAAACAATTTTGGTTACCACGTTTTTGTTCCAAAAATCGATATTTTGGGAATTAAACCTAAAAAAAGCGACAAATTCAAAAGATTATCATTATCTCCAATGCTTCGCATTTTACGGCATAAATGAAGAGGTTATTCCGCGCAGGTAGCTTGTGTCGGTGTGAAAATATGGTTCCGGAACTATTTTTTTTGGGGTTTCTTAGCTGATGGTCCTGCCAAATCCATATCCTCTCTTTCTTCTTCGGTCAATTGGTAATGTCCAGTTCCACGTTCGTTAAGGTTCAGTGTTAATGGTGCGGGATCGGCGATGTCGTTGTCATCATCACTGTCTTCGTCATCGACAATCAATTGTGTGACGTTATCGCAAGTCTGCCCAGCGCAGTTGTGGCATAAGACAGAACATTTCAGTCCTGCCTTACGACACCCACACATTCCTCCGCAATTTTTCGTGCATTTGGGTACATATTTTCTGGTTAAATTCCGAAAATATCGATTTTCGAAAAAACAGGTAAAGACCAAATTTGTCCAAAATTTGATTCTCTACAAGTTTGTTTCTTCTCATTGATGGTGTAAAGTTGAGAATAAACGAGATAATGATGATATTTCGAATGAGTCGTTTTTTTTTAGGTTTAATTCCGAAAATATCGATTTTCGGAAAAACAGGTGATGACAAAATTTGTCCAAAATTTGATTCTCTACAAGTTTGTTTCTGTTCATTTATGCCGTAAGGTTGAAAATAAACGAGATAATGAAAATATTTCGAATTTGTCGCTTTTTTCAGTTTTAATTTACAAAATATCGATCCTATCAGAAAAATTGTGAGGACCAAACTTGTAGAGAACCAAATTTACTACAATTTTTATTCCCAAACTTTTTCTGTAGAATCAAAAATGGCCGAGTTATTCAAGAAAAACTGTTTTTTAACAAAAACACCAGTTTTCGAACATATGCAAAAGCTTGATTTGGTCGCCATTTTGAATTTACACTCCCAAATTCAACTTTAGCTCCTAGGAACTAAAATTCAACTTTAGCTCCTAGGAACTAAATATGTTGCCTAGCAACATATACCTATCTTTGTGTCAGTAATAGAAACGTCAATTTAAGAGCTAATTTTGGTATCAAAATGAACGACTTTTGTGTCGGTTGCAGAAAAACGGAATTTCTTTACCTAACCTAACCTCCCGTCTACACAAAAACTCAAAAATACCGTTCCGAATTTTCTACTGCTCATCAGGAATATCAGGATTCTGGGCTGGGATTCACTTAGTTACTAACGCGAACTTAGGCAGACGAGATGTGAACAACCCTGGGTCTCCTCTCCTCAATACGAACTTAAAAATGATGTCAGGATACTTCAAAAGTATCTGAAGTAATGAAAAATAGAATTACTGTAGGTACTGAAAAATTAATTAAAATATTCTAAAACTAAAATATTTGGAAAGTAATTGAAGTATACTCAATAGGTATTTGAAATACTCAAAAAGTAATTAGAAATATTAGAATACTGAGAAAGTAATGAAATAATTTAATAAATAATCGGAGATACATGGAGATACTGAAGATACTGAAATGGTAATTTAAAAATAATTAAATTCTAGACTAACTCTACCTGTGATCTATATTGGGATATTTGGAACGTGTTTGGAACCGACTTGAGTATTATTATTTGATGATGTTATTTCTCAGTACCTACTAACTAATTGGCCATTTAACGAATAATGATTAGGGTTTACATCCGGTAGGGTACCGATATATTATGAATTTACTACCTATTATCCATGCAAATTCCTATCGGTATGCACGAGGGTATGCATCCCGTAATTCCAAATAATGAAGGTACAGAGATCACAGAGATGTCTCCAAAAATTGAAACATATGACGTCTTTCAGAAAGTTAGCATCCCGGTTCATTTATTTTGAAATTCGACTTTAGCGTTGCTTACTAGGTCTGGGTCACGTGACTTTCACTATATGTCAACATGTAACAATTTATCAAGTCAATCATTGAAAATACGCTTATTACTCGATTGCATTTCAAATACATTCACTACGCAAAATTGTTTCTTTCCCGATTTTAAACATGCCTCTCAAATTTTAATGTTCTATTGCCACATTTAGTTTTTGGTAATTTTTAATTTTCTGGTATGAAACAGTTTTGTCGAACTTGCAATTTTCTTATTACAGATATTGCGTTCAAACTTGAAACAAATGTGCAGAATTTGAATGGAAAGAAACTTTCTGAAAGACACTGTATATTATGTTCCAGAGATTTTTTAAAGTGCTGTAATGTTTTATGCTAAAAAAAAATGATATAAGTAAATAATTGATTGTTTGGCATATTTTATCATCGAGTAATAGGTAGTGCAATGAGAAAATGAAATAGCTACGTACCTACCAAAAAATGTGGATCGCATTTTTTTAGAAAAAAATTAAATCGGGAACGAAGTAGAAAATACAAGGGCGGGGATGCCCGAATAAGCGGGACACCACTGTATACACGGTGTTTCATAATATATCCGCAGGACAGGATGTGATAGCTCGTTCAGAAATATGAAAAAAAGTTTTTATCAACTTACCCTCTGAAATGCACTATTTTAGAGATACAGGGCGTTGAAGTTAAAAAAAAATCGTTTTTTTGCGTATACTTCTGGAACCGTCTCGGGAACCGTTTATCGCCCAAAAAACAGCTTTCGTAAGCATTTTCTACTCATAATAAGATGTTTTGTGCAGATTTTTTTCAGGTAATAATTGGTGAAGGTTTTGAAGGGGTAGTGATTGTTGTCTTCCCCAACTTCTACGATACTGGAAAAAGTACAGTTTTGAGCAACCCATTTGAACTGCCAATATTGCCCACACAAAAAAGTTATTCTATGTTGAAAATCATGGTATTTTTTTCAATTGCTGCGTACATTGAAGCTAACCGCAGACATTTCCAAAAATCATTAATTGAAGTGGGTAAGATTTGCTATTTTTATGTTGTGTTCAATTTTGTAATATGAGGTTAACCTTCGGTTTTGTTACTTGATCTTTAAAGTTTGAATAGATTATTTTTAATTGGTAAAAATGATTGGTTCCAAAAATTTACAATTATTTTCAACATGAACATGAAAGTTGATTTCTCTCAAAAACGGTCAACTTTAGAGCTTATATGACAATGAGTATCTTTTTTTAGTAGAAAACACTGGCCGTTCGAATGGGTGGATCAAAACTGTACTTTCTCCAGTGGCGTAGAAGTTGGGGAGAAAAACATCCACTATTCAAAATCTTCACCAATTATGACAACAAAAAAATTAATTCCGCACAAAAAATAGCTTATACATTTTTATCTCAAAAATTGTGCATTCAGAGGGTAAGTTGTTGAGAAATGTTTTTCATATTTTTGGACGACCTATCAGATCCTGAAGTCCTGCGCATATATTATAAAACACCCTGTATAACAAAAGGTCATGCCAAATAATTATTTGCTTCGAGATTTGTTCTACTCAATGTATCTAGGATATTCTTTTATATATATATATATATTTATATATATATATATATATTTAAACACCTATACAGGGTGTATATGAATAACATCGAAAAAATATAAGGGGTGATTCGAGGGGTGATTGCTTCAAATTATACGTGTTTTTGAAAAAAATATCAACGAAACCCTATTTGACTTGAGGTCTGTTATATTATTGAAGTATTATAACTTACAACTTACCACAATTTAAAATCCACTGTTCGGCACGATTATCACTAGGAAAACGGAACATTTGTAAAGTTTCATCGTCTCTTTGCGATTTTCCACAGTTGAAAAAACTACATTTATTTCCACTACGATTCATGATTAACCTGAGTCACAGGGAACAACAGCAATATCCAGATAGGTAAACACAATGAGAAAAAAAAGAGAACAATTGCATCGAAATCACATACACCACCATACAACAATTCACTGATGAAATGTCAAGTAACGTCCAGACACCCCACTCACCCCAGACATAATAATGTAATATAGATATATCTACTACTCATATATGAAGCATAGCTGTCCTCAAAGCGGGACCAACTTCTGACTCATAGGTAACGAAATCGATAGGCCTTGATGCCGACGTAGGGAAAAAATAATACGAAACTTGTTAAACCGATATGGCAACGAATTTCAAATTTTCCATCCTTCACTTTCCGTCCTTATAGATTCAAAAAGTACTCTCATTTTGGTCCCATTTTTGTTGAGATATCGTATGTATAGGTGATGCGCCATACATAGAAATAGTACATATGTATATATATAATCATGAAGTAATCGAGAATATGAGTAGACCATATACGTATTAATAATCAATACGGATAATCTCTATCTGTTTCCATAGCGAAACATGAAGCCGATTTTTGAAGTCAAATGACTATCCATAAGGACAAGTTTTGAAACGATCATCAGACACATACTGCTTTGATTGAAAGGCTAGTAAACGTCATTGTCCTACGAAACGCATGTCTTTGATGACTACTATA